GGACATTGAGGAGGATGAAGAGAAGCTGAAGGAAACCCGGTGGCCATTCGCCTCTCCCAGACGGAAACCCCAAACGAGATATTCAAGTGAGAATTCCCAACTCTTGGGAGCTGGAAAATCCAAGTCTCCCAAAAACACAGAGTCCACCAGACAAAGGCTACAAGCCTTAAGGTGACTACTTAGAGATGTTCTACTTTATGTGTACTTTAAAAGTAGATTTTTTTTATATTATTATTTCTACACATGTAGTTAATTCTTCCATGCAGTGAATACAGGACTGAATTTGTTAATATAAGGGCTTAATTATAATATAAAACTTAAAATAATATAAACCAACATACTTTAGATTTATGATTGTTGAAGAAACAATAGTGAATTTTTCTCAGAATGTCCCTAGGAAAGGGATGAATGACTGCTGTTTCCCAGGATATCCTGAATCCCTTAAAATGGCACATACTTTGTGTCCTCTCATGGCAACCTCGTTTTCCTCCTTGGAATCATCTTTGCCAAAGCTTCCTTTGAAGTGGTGCTCTTGGTTTAATATGAATTCAGCCTTAGTTTATTTTCCCCACCAGGAATTCACTTGAGGAAAAGAGAAAGCTGGAAGAACAACAAAAAAGGAACAGAACAAAGCAGAAACAAAGAAAGAAAAAATTCCAGAAAATTGTACTGGCTCGGGCTGAGGCCATTGACCCACATCAGAGCCTTGCTCAGATGTCTAAATCCAAATTAAAAACATTCAGGTATTTTGTGGCATTCCCCTGAATCCAGAACCTCTCATCCAACAATGAGAATGGGAGGTTCAGGATTGCATTGTATGTTAAACATACGATGTGTAAAAAAATAGTCTAAGTTACCATGATGACATGTGATAAATTAAACATTGTGCAAGCAGATAGTCAAAATGGTCAAATTTAGTGTTTCAACTGGGAAATTGTTTCCAATCTATATTGAAGTCATTAGAACATATATATAGAAATATATATTCCACCTTAGAGTATTACAGATTAGCTAATAGGGGACTCCTGTGTTTTCTGAATTAACACATCAACTAAAGAGGAAAAGTTTATAACAATTCAAAGGAAAAGGAACAGTGTAGTTACAGAATAGCCTTGCACAGCTGGATACTGCACTGGTACCTTGGGGCAGTGAACATTCCGCAAGTCACTTCTTTGTCCCTGCAGGCCCCACTGGAGAGGGAAGATTGGAGCAGGAATATGATTTTTAACTTCACACATGTAACAGCAGCTACCCAGGAAGCTGCTGGTGTTTGGGAGGAGTGGGATGCAAAGTTACCTGTAGGAGAGATACAACTGAAAGACTGTTTCTGTATGACTGAGGGAAGCAGCAGGCAGGGAATGACACCAGTGCTGGGAGCTGGCACTCCAGGTGGCTCCAGCTCTCTGACACAGATCTAACCCCACAACTGCTGCTTGACCTGGTGTCTGGGGCTGATTTAAAACCATTTCTGCTTCTTGCTCTTTTTAATCTTACAAAAAAATTAATCCTGTTTGAGTCTTTAGTGGGGTTTGTGATCTGGCCTGGCACAATGGCACTGCAGGAGGATCACCAACTTCAGGTGCTGTTGTGTGGAGATGGTGAGAGGCACGGGCTGCTCTGCCCCTGCTGCTTCATGCCTGGGCAGGATTCCTGGGCAAACAGGACTCCTGATTTCCAGTAACCAGGCATTCTGTTGGGAACAGGAGCTTTATAACGTATGTGTCCTTGGAGATGATCTGCTGGCTCCGGGACAGAAGCAGAAAACAATTGGAGTCAGAGTAGGTGGAGAGTGAAGAGAGACAGTGGGTGTTTGTGCAGATTTGGTTTGAGTTCATTCACCAGCAAAATTCACACTGCAGTGTTCAGCTTAATCAGATTTGAGGAGCTCTGTAAAACACTCATGGCTTAATTCTTGTCTGCACATAAAGTGATGCCATTACAAAGCAAGGTTATTTCCCTGGTTCTGATGCTCTGGGGCTGCTCCAAGGGCTTAACCTGATAATGCTCATTTCAGCAGTTGGGGAATGAGGTCTGTCAGGGCAAGTGCTCTTCCAAGCAAGGAGCAACAAAGAAGTTCACTCCCCAAAATGGAGAATAACTTGCCTTGGTGCACAGCCACGTCCCAGGAATTCAGAGATGGGCAGGGAGAGAGGCAGGAGGAGAGAGGAGGGTAAAATGCCCCCTGGATCTCATCCTTGGCCTAGCGAGGTGTCTGTCACACACTGAGGATTACCACCCATCCTACCTGGATTATCCAGTGCTTGCTGTGATCCAAATGACCATTTCAGCTGATGAATCAACAGTTTCATCATCCTGCTCTATTGACTGGGCCCCTGAAAAGCCAACTAGGAATAAAGTGTCCTGTGGGAGATCAACTGCTAGAGCAGCAGGAATCTCACCAAACTTTAAAAGCACTGATTTTTATTTAATGCTATTTACATCCTGTGGTGCACTCTGTTTAATTTTGCTTAGAGCAGATGGAAGATCTGTGTGAAAGCAGCATTTAGAAACCCTCAAGTATCCAAATTTTTGTTTTTAAAATCCCCAAAACCTCCAAGAATCCAAACCCAGCCTCTGTTTAACCTCAGTAACCTGCCTCTGCTTAGCCCAAGTGACAACTTCAGAGACGGGTTCGTTCAGTACTTACCTTTTCTTTATCTTTAAGTGGGACAATATTTAGTTTGTTATGAGCAATTTAGCTGCTGTAGAAAGTCACTTGTTGTATTATGAATTAATAACAATTTCTCCTGTGCTCTGCTTCCCTTAGGAACAATGAGAAGCGGAGAAGGCAGGAATATTTGCAAGAGTTGCAAGAAATGGAAGAAAGAGTAAAACAGAGGCCTTTGCTTTTTGAAAGAGTCACTCAGGTTGCCTTGTTTCTGTGTTACTGCTCAATTCTTAACTGCAGATACTGAATAAGACATTTGTAGTCAAACATGTTTAGGAGACACTTGAAAAACATTTTTTTAGACCAGCATTTATCTGTTTCAATCTCTGTTGCCCCACGTAAATGTTACTAATTTTTGTGACTAACCATTGTGAGTGTGTCCAGTTCAGAGTTCTGAACACAACCAAAAATTGCCAGCACAGGAAAGGAAAATCTGATGTAAAATTTTCAAGTATTGCTTTGCCATTCTTACCTGCAGTGAACAATCATTCCACTTGTCAGCTGCAATTAATGAAACAGAGGATTAATCTCAATAAAAGCATCCAAAGGCAGGCATTCAATGCATTAGATAACACAGAACCATTGTGGTTTTTCCACAGAAAAATGCCAGAATAGCTGCAGAAAAGCATTATTCCAACAGACTGAGAGCACTGGGGATAAACCCAGAGTTTGTTGCAAAGAAAGGACAAACAACTATTGTGCTCCAATGCTCCACTGCTGAAGATTTCATCTCCACTGATGCCAGAGAAAGGTAGAGATTACTGAGGGCTTTTGTTTTTCTCACCCACTGCACATCTAATAATTTGAAAGACATTTTTAGTGTGGAGATTTGGGGTGTTTTTTTAAATTATTTACAGTATTTCCCAGGGAACTGTTTGACTATGTGGTTTGCTTTACCAATGTTAGTGGTAGCATGTGCTTTTTATTGTTCTTCCTGAATTAAATATTATTTCATAAAATGGAAGAGAGCACTGGTTATGTAAGAAAAATGAAGAAAAACATTTTTTTATTTGTTCCTTTCACCAAAAATTCTGGCAGGTTGCTAGTGAAGTCACTTCATTTGTCATTACCTGATGAAGGTTTAAATTTAAACCTGATTTAAAATTTAAAGTTAATTTTTTTTAAAATAAGCCTTATAAAAATTCATTTTCAATATCCATTAAGTGTTATGATTTAAAGGGAAGTAGAAATAAAAAAAATGGAGTATACAGGCAATACTGTTGAGTTACTTTTTAGCATAAAAGAGACTCTGGTGTGTCCCCTTCCCTTCCCTTTTCCTTCCCCAGTTCTGCCCCAGCCAAGAATACCAGGATTTGTCCTGTATTACAGGAGGGTACTTTAAAAAGTACTTTCCCAGAAAACAGAATCTCACCTGCCAATTGTCTTTTCAGAGTCATCGAGATCAAAGTGAGGGAAAGGGGATTCCTTGAGGGAGCAGCCGAGGACAGTCCCCACTCTGAGCAGTCCTGGGAGGAGGAGGAGGAGGAGGAAGAGGAAGAGAAGGGAAAAGGTGTCAAAACCTCCACCCCAGATGAGCAGTGCAGTGAGCTGGAGGATGAGGAAGAGCCCAGAGCCAGCCCTGATGCTCCTGAGCCCAAGTCCAGCCCACCCTCCGTCCGGAACAGCGAGGAAGAGGAGGAGGAAGCAAAGGCAGGCTTGTCCCCTGGCCATTCCCAGGAGGAGGAGGAAGAGGAAGCAAAGGCAGATCAGTCACTTGGCCATTCCCAGGAGGAAGGGGAGCAGGAGGAGGATCATTCCAGCCCCAGCTCTGGGTCTGAGCGCTCCCAGGAGCAGGAGGAGGAAGGTCAGTCTGATCCTGAGGCCGAGGGGGCCTCCCAGTATGAGGATGAGGAATATGAAAGTGATGATTCTGAAGACAAAGCCAGCGATGAAGAAGCCAACTGACAGGATGTCCCAGGGCTCAGGAACCTCTTCCATTGCTGGAAGAGGAACAGAGAAAAAAAATGGTGCTTTGCTCCAGATACAAAATTCTGTGAATTCTTCCCTCTTCACTTCAGAGCCCTCCCAGTGCAGCAATTTGGTTTGTTCTCCAGTAAGAAACCTCAAGTTACCAGTTTTTCCACCAAGAAAATAATCTACTTTTGCATTAAACTTCTTTATTCTAGTCTTGTGTGGCTTTAGTGCACCTCTGATCTTAACAAAGAAACGACAACCATTGTTTAATAACAACACCTCGTGTGCTGTGTAAGCACTGAGGTCTCACATCCAGCTTTTTCCACGTGCTGGCAAAGACTTTGGAGCAGTAAATGCCATTATATCCCACTAAAGGGAGACTCTTGGTTACCTCAGGTTGTGTCAAGCTATGGCAAGAAGTGCTGTAGTACCTCTTCTTACACACAGGTTACTCAGGGCTTCAGCTACAACACAACAAAGAATGGAAATAAAAAGTTTGGGGGTTGTTTTTTTTCCTTCTGCTATGACTGGCTTTCTTGCTAACCTGGCACACTCGGTGCTGGGAAACATCACATGCACAGAAAACCTGTTATTGTTTCTTCCTCCTTACTTTGTTACACAGTCTCTCAATGTTTGAACTTTTTTTTAAACATCATTGCTTTTATTTATTTCTGAAACGTGAGCATAACTAAATGCGAAATTGAAACTTTTTCTAAAAAAGACTTGAATAAAATATGAATTAATAATTAATGAAAATATTGAAAATGTTAATCATTACTTCACAAGGTAAAAATCAGAGTTTACAGTCTCTACTTATACCTGGCAGCCCCACAGTCCAAACTCAAGGTTGGTTTGCTTGTCTTTGTGAGCATTTTGTAATTCTGAAGAGTTGTCCAGTTAATAATCACACATTACTGGGACTTGTCTCTTTAGGAAATTAAATCTTTTTTCTGAAAGAAGACAGAGGAGATGTAAGTTATGGCTTTTCTCAGATTATTGGAAGAGATTTCAAATCAGAAAAACAATCAATGTGTTTCTAAAGATCTGACAGCACTCAATTAAATGTTCTAAAAGAACGAATATACAATTGTTGAATTATTAAAATAGGGAATAAAAGTACTACTAAAACTCCTTTGAACTGAAAGTAGCAAAATCACTGCTTTTAAAGGTTTTAGAAGATGGAGTTGGGGACCTATGTATAATTTGGATTGAGTTTTTCACTGAAGTTTTTTTCATATTAACAGTAACAGAATTAATGAACACTGAACTAGGATATAAAATATGATATAACCTTTTCGAGGTTATACTTCAGCTTTTTTTTCAGCATTTCTGAAAAAGTCAAGCAGAATCATGTGGAATAAAGAGATCCAATGGATGTGGTTTACCTGGATTTCCAGCCTGATGGCAGTGATGGAAGAAGATATAGTTCAGTTTTAATCAGTGCAACTAAATGCATGTGAGGGTAAAATATATTCCCAAAGCACAGTTCCATCCTGAATACTGCATTCCTGCTCCTCTCATCTTAACAGGGAATTATGTGACTGGAAAAAGACAACAGGAATGATCAAATATAAATGGTTTTAATACAAGAAGGTACTTTAGTTTTCACATGACAATATACACCAGGATTCTTTAATTTGGGAAAGAGAGGGGAGATCAAACTCAGAGATATTAAAGGAACCACTTATGGAAATCAGCTTTTCAAAGTGGAAGGATAATGAGATTTAGGTAGAAAAAAACCCAACAAAACTGTTCAGAAATTGCATTACAAACATAAAGGGATAAACATTCCAGCAAGGAATTAGAAAGGAAAGAAAGCAAAGAAAAATCAGAGATGACAGAATAGAAACAGAGACTGACGGGTCAAGGTGAATTAAACCTCGTGAAGCAAAGTAAAAAATGCTTCAAACAAAGAAGAGGAACGTGTAGACAAACCAGAAAAACTGAGAGAAAATAACTCTATTTAAAGAAAAGAACCAGTAAGTTCCACATGAAAATCGAAATCCAGGTGAAAGATTTTGGCAAATTACAGTAGAAGCATTTTGAGGTAAGAAGCTCATTAAAGGAGAAATGCTGATGAGTTTGTGCTTTCAGGGAGGCTGCAGGAGGGAGATGAATAGGAAAGTTTCTCACAGATTATTGAATATTCTGTCTTTAATATTTTAATTAATGGCCAGAGCACAAAAGTAGAAACATGTTCAAAAATTTGCAAAGAAAATGAGAAAGGTGTATCTGGAGAAAGGATTAAAAATACCACATGGGAAGAAGGGGATAACTTTGCATGTAGGCTCTAGTATTAAATAATAAATTCCAAGTGCAGGAAGAGTGTTTCTCTATAATAATTATACATATTTATTTTTGAAATAAGAAGCCAGAAGTTTTGGATATTGTGCTTTTTCAAGCATTCTTTGTATTTAAAATACTGTTTCCTCTAGAAACCATCTCCTCATGTGCATAATTATCACAACATCAAGCAGGAGGTTACATCCTCTTTTCATTTGAGGAAAAAATTATTACATCATTATCTTTTACAGATGAAGAGAATAACAAAATACCTTCCTCACCTTCAGTGGAATTATAGTCTTACATCTCTGGTTGTATAATTTTTTTGGTTAAAAGAAAAAAAAAAAGCCCTTGCATGCTCCTGCAAAACTCAGAATTGCTTCTTTCTTCAGTAGGAATTTCAGGTATTTGAGGAATGACAGATCAGAACTTAGACTTACAAACAGTATCAGAAAAATTCCTGTCCCTACTTTGTACTACAAACACCCAGCAGTCAGATGGGGCAGAGAAATCAGGGATCACTGGGCAAGGCAAACCACACAGACACGAAGTTATAGGACCTGATCTAGTGCTTTAGATAGCTTTATTAAGGAATAACAGCATTAAGAGGTTTCCACTGTGCTGAGTGTGCACAAACACACCACTAAACCCTCAGCCCAGTCCTGCTGGGCATCTCTGCACACTCTAAGTACCACTGTTTAAATCTTTCCACAAACAGCTGAGCACATCAAACAGCCTGTCTGTGCCCAAGGAGCACAAGCTCTGTCCTCCCCATTCTTCCTTTTCTTCCTCATTTTTCAAGCCCCTTAATTGAGTCAAATTAACTCATCCACTCTCCCAGCAAAAGGGGGTGAAGGTTAGGAGATGACAGGGACGAGCAGGACTTCACCCCTTTTAATTCTGTTCAGTTATGGTCCGTGTGTCACAGACCTGCATCCCAGGATTATCCACATGGGACAATCCCCCACATGTCTCTGTGGCTGTAGCACAACAGAAGGCATGTGTTAACTGGCAAGAAATATTGTTATTTCCTGATAATTAACACCATGTTTAATTTGATTTGATTTAATTGAGATCATGTTTAATTTGATGAGCACAAATGGTACAAGCAAAAGCCAGTTGTCAACAGGACTAAAAACAAGTGTATTTGCACCTGCCCAGCTCAAAACTTGCTACTAATAGTTAGGGCTTAGTAACCAAAGCCGATTACTAACAATAGTTAGGCAGGTTACAATAAGAAGGTTAGTAGGATTAGGCAGGTTACCAACTAACAGTAAGTAACCACACTACCAGCACAGCCAGGAAATTCTAGTTGCCAGGATAATGAATTGCTACAAACCATCTTGTTTCCACACAATTCGGATTTTACACGCAGGCTTCCACACCTCCAGAGGTACCTGGTTCTCAGGAAAGGCTGCTGGTCACTTGCCATATTTTTAAGGCCAGTTTCACACCGTCCCACACTTTCTGAAATGGATAGGAGATACATAAATTACATTTGTGACAAGTAGTAAAAGCAAACAAAGGAAAAAAATCAGCTTTTTGTGCCTCGTGCTGATGAAGTTCTGCTCTGGGGAGCTCGGTCCAGCAACACCTTTATCCCTGAGGAACTGGGATTGCCGAGGGCACACTCAAGCAATGAGCCCTCAGATCTGACACTGCAGGGGCCACACAAACAGCTGGTGTGAGGGAACAAAGCCCTTGAAATCCAGTTTGGGGTTTTGAACTCTGAGTTTTCTGAGAAAAAGAAGCAACTCCAAACATTACACAGCAGAGTGACAGCCCCACAGTGCTGAGGCCCAGCTGACTGACATGCAGGGCCTGCTGATCCCGTCACTGCAAAATATCAAGAAACACCTATTAACGGTTCATAAAGTTACTTCTTTTAAATCCCTGTTCAGTTAACTTAGTTTCCTCGTGAGAATTTCCTATACCCCTTGCCTGTTAACTGGATCCATAGTTTATTCCTGGGTGAAACCTTCCTCCTCCTCATACTCTGTTAATGCTGATTTAATTCAGGCCTAGCAAGCTGAGGCTGAGTTTAACTCTCCTCAGGGAGCTGGCTGGGTACCTATTTGCCTGCCCCAGCTTGTTCCTGCCCCTGAGAACTGGCTCACAGGCCCTGCTGCTCACACAGCTCCCTTCCCTCCCTTTCCCACTGAAAGGCAGCTCAGTGTTGCCCAGGAATACTGTTTCCAGCCAGCCACACTACTGCAGAATATTCAACTTCATATAAAGAGTGACTTGGAAAAAGCTGCTCAGTTTTATGCCACAGCCTCTTTTAGACACCCCACAGGCAGTTCCACACCAAAGCCAACTGTGTTCCCACATCCCACTAAAGCAGAGCCAGTAATTCCAAAACGTGAGCCAGACTCCATGTGAGGCCACACAGCTGAGCCCTGCACTGGTTACCTGTCAACACGCTCAACGTGACACTAAATGAAAAGAAAATCCACTCTGGAAGATGTTTCTGTGAACTATAACTCCTCTCTTCAGGACACAGCTGCCACATCCCAAAGGAATTTCCATCCCCTGCTATTCCTGGCAGCTGAAGGGGCAGGAAACCCATGTGGGGAATGTCCAGATACAGCAAGAACCTTCCAGCACTCATCCTACTTTCAACTCCATTCTCACAAGGCCTGTATCTTGACAAAGAAAACTCCTACAAGGCCTGCAAAAAGCTGTGAATTCCTCAGGCAAAAGAAATTCTGGAATGGCCAAGTTTTAGGACAAAGGATCCAAGTCTGTAGATGAGATTCTTTAGATGAGTCTGTAGATATAGAAGGCTTCTCAAAAGGGAGCACAAAACTATCCAAAGAAACTGCACAGCAGAATTTGTCTACTTTTGCAAATCATCTTGCAGACAGCAAGTAGTTTTCATGATGTTTTAAGATTTTAGCTTTTTTTTTTTTAAATAAGTTTTATCAAAACCTCAGTAAAAACACAACATCTAAACAATGGCACAGAGATGCTGAAAATTTGCTTCCCTTTCTCTGAGTTTCATTCCAACCCACTCACCACCAGGAGCTCCTTTCAGACATCACCCATTCAATCCAGGCCTTCAGCTCTATTTCCTTCAGCAGACGTCCTGTAAAATAATGGAAAAGATCATAACCTGATAAATTATTTGTAATTTGGGCACATGTGGCTGTGAATACAATTCACTTGCCATAAATGAGAACAAAGGGCTGAGGCAGCAGGACCTACTTGATAAAGTATTTGTGATTTTTTTTTTAATCCTTAACCAATCTCTGGTTTCACAGAACCAGAAATGAATAAAAGTTTGTTTCAGGTGACAGGGAACAATCCCTCTCCTCTCTCCTGGTCACTTACTCTTGCACAGGGTCCAAGGTTGGTAAAGTCCAGATCAAAAAGTCCTCCTGAGCATTCAGTAAATCTATTCAACTTGCTAAAATAGCAGCAATAATCTCAGGAAAACTCTCCACACCACAACAGAAGCTCTTTCCAGCCATTTTGGCGAGGATTAGTGGGAGCAGAAGGGAAGGGAAGATCAAGATGACCACAGGTGAAGGTGGGGGAAGTAAAGGGGAGCTGTTAATTTATCTCGGTGATAATACACCAGCACATCCCAAGTGGGTGTTTGTTATTTTTTGTTTACTGTACACAAATCACTTCTCAAATACACGAGGGACCTATTATTTTCCCCAGACTCCTGTGTTAAGCCAAGCACACATTTTTTACAGTAATTTTTAAAAATTCCACCTTTGCTGTTCATTAGATTTTTCCCTTATCCAGAGATGAGCTGGGAGGTGTGGCCCAAAACAACTTTTTCACCAGCAACACTGTTGCTGGAAGACATATTTGGCTATTAAGTAGAAATGAGCAGATAATTTAAGATTTTCTACCTCTTCCCAAATCAGTTGAAGCCACTAAAATTTCCACAAACGCTCACTCAGTTTTGTTTCCTGACCTGTTCCCCTGCAGGCCACGCTGCTGGTTTGTGCCATCACGTGGGAGAAATGAAAATAAAAGCAAAGAGGGCAAAGCCAACCTCTTTCAGCAGTAATTCCAGCCTAAAGCATGTGGAAAGCCCTCCTGAGGACTGGGGTGCTGTGGAGTCACAAGGATCTGTTTGGCTCCACAGGAGAACTGAAACACAAACCCTGCCAACCACTCCCCACCAAAAAGCAAAAAAAAAAAAAAATGCTGACAGGGGCATATTTCCTTTTACTGTCTTATTATTTTCCTTTTCTGTCTTTCAGCAATCAGAATCAAACCTCTCAGCTCTAGAGTAAATCTGATTTTCCAAGAAGAAGTGATCCCTTTAAAAAAAAAAAAAGAGAATCCTAACAGAACAGATATGCAAGCTACATTCCAAAGGGTAAAATAAATTTCCACATGGGAGCTGTGACACTCTTCTAGGTTTTTTGTTTGGGTTATGGCTTTTTTCTTTTATTTGGGGGGGAGTGGATTGTGTAAGGCTTTTTTTTTTTAGAACTTCCTGCAGCATAATCTCTCTGGCCTCTGTATCCCAGACAATCTGCTGAGGAACATCTACTTATATCCCAGTCACACGAAGAACAATCGTAACAAGAAGCATTGTGCTCTCTGCTATAAACACCAGTAGAATAAAATAGAAAGATTAGGGGGGAAAAATGATTAAAAATAGCACCCTTTTCTTTCCAGAGGAAATAACGTGATTTTTACCCCCATGCCTTTTGTCACTGTTGTAACAATGGCTCGTTTTAGGTCATATCTGGGTGCAGTCAGAACCAGGAAACCCTGGCACAAATGGACTGTGGCAGTGCTTTGTCTGCACTGTGTGTCTGGGCCAGCTCTGCAGGCTCTGAGGGACTTGGAGGTTCACAGAGCTGTTCCAGGGGATGGGTTTTCCCAGAGCACAATTCCAGTGATACCTGCAGCACTGGAGAGCTCTGCAGGTTGTGACACTGATGGTGACTTGCTGGAACGTCCCATCTCTCTAAATAAAGTTGTTCATTTTGCACTGGGGCAGAGGTTCAGTGACCTACTGCTGATCAGGCCTCAGCACAGTTCCAAGCACTTATTCCCAGGGAGATCCCTACCATTGACTTTGCAGGAACCACAAAAACTCAGTTCTCTGGATTTGCCTTGCTAGAGAAAAAAAAATCCCAGTAAAAATCTATCCATCCCCTTTAGCCCCATAGCAGGATTGTGGCCTGCAAACTCACATCCCTGGAAAACCTGGAAGCATTAGGATATCTTACCTGCATCTCTCACTGTTTTTCCAGGGAGAATCTTCACTACCACCACCACCAGCATCATGTTTTTCCTTATGCCACAAGAAATACACACTTGGCATTGACTCCATATGCTTCCTTCCTAATGGGAATACCAAAGGACCGCATTAGTTATTTTTTACTAATAAAAAAGTCATTTCAGGCTGTTTTCAATACCAATGGGTATTAAGGGAAACCCTCTACCCCTGCAGCATCAACGGTGCAAAACCTGCCCCCTCTTCCCATTCCATCTCTCCCAGCAGAGAAAATAAGCAATAACCACCTTTCTTTTCTATATTTCAGAAGTCAAACCTCTTTGGAGGAAGCACAGGAACTGAAAAGAAAACTGTTGTACCCTGGCATCACACATCCACATTTCCTCTGATAAGCAGCTTCTCATTTTCCAGCATCAAGATTTTTCCTTTCCCCCTCCTTTCTTTGTCCTTTTCAGCTTGGATTTTTAACTCCTCCCTTTCAAGAGAACAGCTGGTTGTGCTTGGTGTTGGTCCTCTGGGTTTGCACCTCCTCTCCCATCCAGAGTTCCTTCCAGACAGGCCTCCTGAGTGATCCACTTTAATTAACAAGCTGTCCTGGGAAAGGGGGTAAAACACCACATGCTAAATGTCTATTCTGAAAAACCAGCTGAAAGTGGTGATGCTTGTTGCTGTTGAAACTCTTGATGCTCAGCATCAGGAGAGGGCACTTGTTTGAAAAAGTGAGGTGGGAGGTCGAGTTTCTGTAAGAAAAGTACTTTGATGGAAACAGGGACCAGGATTTCACTCCCATCTCACTCAGGGCTCATTTTAAACACTGAAAACAAATTTTTTCCACAAGGAAGGCACCAGAATCCCCACCAGCTCAAGAAATTTGCTATATTAAAGCTGTGTGTTATCTTGTCAACACGTGGAACTCTCCTGTAGCAAGGCCTTTAATATTAATGAAATCATGTCTATGTTTGCCATTCCTGGATCCGAGTTTGGTGCTAATGACACTCAGGAGCAGCAGCTGTTGGCAGACACAGCACACACCATTCCAAAGGGCTGAGTGCTTCCCCCCTCCTCTCCAGCCTGTGGGATACAGGAGAGATCCATCTTCCTCCAGGCATGCAGTAAAGTTTCATGCTCAGGGCTCTCTCCATCTCCCAGCTGCAGCCACTGGAGACTGAAGCTCTTCACTACTTGCTGTCTCTCCATTAGGATTCCTCCCCAACTTCCCTATTCCACAGCACTGCAGGCAAATATTCTGGCCAAGAAAATACTCCTTTCCTGTATCATCTCAAGACTGTGATGCTGCATCTTCCTGCTGGGGTGATTTACAAGTATCTCCCGACCTCTGATTCCTTTAAAACCAGAAGTTGTAAGTCAGTGTTTAAAACTCCAAGGCTGACTTTACACTGCTCCTTAAGGGAGTGGGTGGAATGAGTGTAAAGACTGGAATTCACCTGCACTTGAGTTCCTCCCACCTGCCTAATCTCACTGGCACTTCTGGCACACGATTCCTGGGCAGGGAGAGCCCGGAGCCCATCCCAGTGTGTGGGTCACCACAGAGATGTAAAGCTCATCAGCCTCTGGACAAATTCAGTTTGTGGTCAGAGACAGAAATAACTCCTGGTGAGTATCCAGGAGTGAGTGACTGCCTTCGTCCTCACAATATGGTCCATGGAAAAAAGAGAATGTGGAGTGGTGTGCTGAGCAAGGGAAGAAATCAGGGAACTTTTTTTAGGATGATGGAAACAACACTGACAGCATTGGGGAAAACCAAGTTTTCTTCACCCCCTGCAGCACAGATATGAAGTTATAGGTCAGAGTCACCTCAGCAGGAGGTGCAGCTGCATTAGCAGAGGAAGGAATCAATCCAGTCAATAAAGGAATTGATACCTGCCTATAGTTAGAAAATGCCTTTTACAGAACAAGCTGTTCCTCTGGATCACTGAGAAATGGAAGAGTTTTATTGAGTTTCTAAACACACAGAGGCATGTATAATTGATATTGTCTGACTGCTAGGCATTAAGAGCGTTTCAGGATTTTAAATGCTCCCTTCTGCTGTGCTTTCCTCCTCAAGAATGCATCCAATAGCTACTGGAGAAAGAGAAGACATGTAAAAGTTATGAATTTCCTCAGCAATGAGCAGGGGGACGGTAGACAAAGCTTAAAGTAGATGATACCAAGATTTCTTTTGGATCAAACCAATCAAAAGATGCCTCCCAACCACGAAGGGGAAGCTGGTCCAAGGAGTAAAGAGCTTTTTAAATGTAAAACTCACACCAACTGTGCAGAAAGACTCACTTGGTGTTGTGGAGAAAATATTTTCTTAATGGTGTAAAAGCTCACAAACATTCCATGAAGGGACATCTAACTTTTGTTTCCCCTATTCCATGAAAAAATGTTCTATTAAAATGGGATTTACAGTACAAGACAAACTTAGTGGATTATTCCAAATCATCAGTTTTGCCAGCAGACCAAAAAATGAACTCTGAGCTTTTTGTTACCACTGATGTCGGCAAGAAGTGAAAACATTGACAAACAGCCGTATTTAAAAATCTATTATAAAGCAACCCCCAACACCAAGCAGACATAATCCATACCATCAACACTGTAGGTTCCTAACCCTTCACCTCATCTCAAAAAGAATTAAAAAGGAGCATTTTTGCAGTGGGTAACTAACTTGGATTTGTTCTCCAGTTTATTCTCTTTGGAGCTATCAAACATAAAACTTCTAAACAGCCAATTTTATACTTACCCACATAGGCAGTAAACCTGTTTCTCTAAGAAGCATTCGCAGAGTAACACAAAAATCAATGATTTTTATTTTCTTTTATATATAGGAAAGCAGGCTTGGAAGCTGCATGGTTTAAAACTCTTAATTTTTGAAGAGAAAACGAGAGGAACACTTGGATTTTTGTGGCAGAGGAAGATGGGCCCTGGAAGCAAACCAAAATAAAATCAATAAGCACCAAGAGAATTCAGGTGAATTTTTACACAGTCTCGTTCCTCGTGACTAACAAACAGCCTCAAATTTACCTTGGTGTTATGGAGCCTGTAGAAATCTCATTTTGCACCAGTCAAAGTCAGAAACAGCAGGTTGAGAGGAACAGAATTACACTTTTCAGCATGTCAGCACCTGCCCCTGCCTGCTATTTCTGGGAAAGGCACAGGGCACATTCACCAACCACAATTCCATTGCAATTAGTCTAATGGCAAAAACTTTTGGCTTTACCTTTCTCTCATTTGGATTTTCAAGCAAGCCCTTTATTTCCTCTTGGATTCTTCTCAGCATAAAGTGCCCAAGTTTGTCTTCATTTCAAACAGAAATAGCAGAAGATCAATAAAGGTTTTCATCAGAATGATAACAAAAAAAAAATCCAATATGTGTCTCATGGAACCACAATTTAGACTCTCCACAGAGGTGGTTTTCTGTTGGCAAAGTCAGTAAAAGACTTTCCTCATAAATAAGTTCCAGCTTAATATATTAATAAATAAATAAAAAATAAAATTAATAATAAAAACTAATAAAAAAATAAATTAAAATTCAGCCTGTGCACATCTGAGCACATGGTACAGACTCTACAAGGGTTTTACTTGTTGGGCAGCAGGTTTGGTTCACAAAATTTCATATCTGCTGCAACACAGTACCTGTATTTATTCACATGAGAAATGCATCTCTAATCCAGTTTGCACTTGTGGTGTTTTACAATTAAGAGATAAAAAAAGAAGGAGTTAGAGAAAGCTGGGAGGAATATTCATTCAAACTTATTCATTTAAGCTTGTTCACTGAGATCTACTCATAAGAAGGATCAGATGTTTTAAGAGTCCATAGAAATTGGGTGAACTCACCTGGGAAAGCCACCTATCTACCACAAATAGATGAGTTTTCACAATTTGCCACAAAAACATTGCCAGGAACAGGAAAAAAAATATCAATACTGTCCATGACAGGCACTATCCTGAAATAGGGAGGTCTCCATAGTTTGATTTTTTTCATCCATCTCACCTTACAGACATGGCTTTGTACTCAGAGAGGTGATAAAAAGCAGGTTCTAGGGGAGCTGAGAAAATAAAAAATGTAAGTTTTAATACAGACAAAGACTGTTTAACATCATTTCAGGGAATAGAGAGCAAGGACCTTGCCCTCTTTTCACATCCCTTCCAAGGATTTATCTGACAGGTTCACTTATATTAACAAAAAAGCAATGTAATAAGTAAAGCTCACAACTGAGATGTGAGGATTGGCACATTAGGAAAACCATTTGGAGCTGAGAATGGAAAAAGGGAGAAGTATAAATTATCTTATTATTTCTACAGCACTTCCTAGAGAAGCATCAGCCCAAGGAATGGGGACCTTGGAAGAAGAAAATGAGTGTTTTACCAGGATTGTCATCCAAGAACCACGTCCTGCTTCCCTAAATAAGAGAGCCCAAAAGGTCCTGTATTCCTGGGGGACTGCACCTGGCAGTGCCCTGAGCAGGACAAAAGATGCCAAATGAAATGTTCCTGGAATCTTAATCCAAATTCTTCTTGCTGCTGGATGGGAAAGGTTTGTGTGGGACAGAACTGGGCAGGATTTATGACATCCACAGAAGCACCTCCTGACCACTGAGCCCGAGGCTGAGCTGGGAATTCCACAGGGCAAAATCAGTTCCCAAATTTATAATGGGAGAGAGTAAGGCAGAATGGTACATTCTTATTACAAATAAACCCCATAGGCACAGTATAATATATTTTAATAATGACTTATCTTTTATTCCAAACTGATTTTATCCGTGTTTTTACCTTCTTCTTCAGAAAATGACTGCAGTGTGACTAATTCCCCCAGGGAAAAAGAAAAGGAATTAAGAACAGTACCTTTCAATAGGAACAGAACCTCTTAATCAATTCTTTAATGTTTTAATAAAATTTCCCTGCTATCAGGGAAATGGCGAAGTCCAGATTGAAAATATACCTTCAAGATGGTTTTCAGGAAACATTTTCAGGAAAGCATTTTTAAGGCTTTTTATATATATATATATATTTTTTAAAAGTACATCCTTGGGGGCAGCAGTATCCTCTGTCAGACACTGAGGTTCACTGGGATGCTAAAATTGCATCAGTAATATTCTGTTTGGCTTCCAAGATCCATGTGCAATTTAGGCCTGTGAAAATTTAGGATCTATGTGCAATTTAAGCCTATGTGAAATTAAGGAATCTGAACAGATAAAATGAAGGATACATGACACAGAGTTCTGCAATTAAGAAGGAAATCAATGCATTTAATGTTTAGAATATAATGTAAACAATTCCTACAGTCAGAAGTTGAAAGCCTGGAACTTCCTTGAATAAAAATTCCTAAACTATTTTAAGCTTGTATCCTCAACAAAAAAAAAGAATAAAAATGCAGAAAGGTGTCCCAGCCAAATGGAATAAATAAGCACGTTGAAAATAACAAATATTAGGTATTCAGAAGGCACAAAGATGATGACAAAGAGCTCAGTTTAGGTTACTTTTTAAAGTGATAAGGAAGTGTAATAATAAAAGACTTCCCAGTAGTAAAGTTGGATTAGATCTCACAAAGCACATTAAAAGGAAGATAGAAATAAATTCTTCAGCCTTTGAACAGTGAAAGTAATTTGAGGGTACCAGAAATTAAGGAAAACATGGCACAGTCAGTGTGCATCTGTTAACCCAGCCTGGCTGACATGCAAAGCTTAAAGAGAGAGACTTCTGTAAAAACAAAGATACAGAGTTTAAAATGAGATATAATGCAACAGCAAGACCAGTTCTCTGCTCACCAGGCATTTGTCTTAGATTAGATCTACTTTGTTATCTTTATTTAGAAGAATCATTTTTCTTACCAGTCACTTCATAGGAGGAGCTGGTTAAGATGGAGACAAGGATACTCTTGTAGGATGGGCCACAGCAAGCCAGGGAAGAGACAAAATGGGAAGCATCAGGCCATGGAAAGGCTGGAATTGATTTAATTTAATAACCTTGGAAAGAAATACTGGAGAGAGGGAGGAAAGAAAGAGTGCTCATGGCACAGATCTGGGAAAACTCAAGGGTAGATGACACAGCTTGTCTTCAAACTTCTACTTGCTGAATTTTTTTAGATTTGATACCAAGTTGCCCACTATCACACAGCCCTTTGAGAACAAAGCCAGGTATAAAATACAATAAAAACCCACATTCCCTTGTGCCCCTTCTAAGTGAGATTAATTGACGATTTTTTACCAGCATGTAGATGCCTCCCAAAACAAAACCTAAGCTTACACAAACCAGCTATGGGGCCAACACTCCTGTTTAATCTATGGAAGCAGACATTTAAGAGGCTACAAACATGCCTTGAAGGTGACCTGTTATTAGGAGGTAGAAATATTTCCTATATTTTTCATGTTTTGAATCCAAGCACACAAGAGCCTGCAGGCCGATGTTCCTGGACACTGCAATGAAATAAGGTGAGTACAAATCCTGCCCCTAGAGATGAAATAAAAGTCAGTGTTTCTGAAGCCCTACCCAGATTCAATTATTTAGGTAGTCTTAAATAACATAATTAAAGAGCTCTGTTCAGCAGCTGATATTCCTGATTTAAGCAGCACACCAGGCACAAGATAAGATTTCAGTGTTTAGAGCACTTACTGCTTTTCTAGAAGGATAAAGTGTTAAAACACACACACACAAACCAAAGGAGTGTTTTGAAGTGCCAGGAGGTGAGGTGACATCATCACTACAGCCCATCTGCTGGGGAGAACGTGGAGCAACAGATGAAGAGACAAAATCTCTTCTGGTGTAAAAGGATTGAGTTCCACCGACTTCAGGAAATTTACCCCAACGGTCCTGTGCGTGACAGATTAAAACAATGACACACTTCACAGACTGGCTGAGGGGAAATAAGGTTAAAGCCACCAAGACTGAAGCAGCTCGTTTAGAGCAGTTTATTCTTTTCCTGACAAATGTATTTGTAGATGCTAAAAATCCCGACTGTGGCAGCTTCTCACAGGAGTCAACACGCTGAAAAAAACAGTAGGATATTTCTGCAGAGATAAGAAAGAACATATGGTCCTTATTGCCAGCTAAGGGTCCCTTTTAAAACAATTTTCCTCAATCTGATTTGCTTCCCAATTACACTAAATCCTGCCCTGATTGCTCTCACGGAGCTCTCTCAGAATTTGGCTTCCCTCGAAGATGTATTTTTCCTTCCCCTGGTTACCGCCTTTGTTATTGATTTTTAGCTAATCCCTGCAGTTCCTAGAGAAAGGTTTTGGCAGGTTTCCCTCCAGGCCTGCAGATGCCCATTTCCCTTATCCCCAGAGCATCCTTTCACCCCTCAGTTCCCAGCCCTGTCTCTGCTGTCTGGCTGTGCACACGCCCTGCCCAGGGCCAGCAGGGAGAACGTTTAATATCCTCTCTCGACCAGACAAGAAAGGCAACATCTGCCCCCCTCAGCAGAGGGTCTGCTCAGGGAACCTGTCCCACAGAAGGGGTCTGGTTGGACCCAGCTGCACAGAACTAAGGACTAAACAATCCCCCCTCGCCGTGGCAAAATGTGCCCTGGGAGAAATTTGGCCCATTTTCTCCTCGCCTTGTTGGGAGGAGATTAGACTTGTTTGAAAGACCCTTTTGACCAATGCGGCAGAACTGTAATCAGAAAAGTGCTTTCATTAACACCTCTGACAGAAGAGGTTGTGTCAGAGAAAGGGGGGGGTCTTTTGTCACAGAAATAACAGAATAAATGCTCTGTTAACAAATAGAAATCACAGCCCTGGAGACTGGGCTGCCAGCGTGTAAGCTGCATTCTGAGAACTAAATGATTGGCTAAACTGAGAAAAAAAAGCTTAAAGAAACTTTTTTTGGCTACTAATATAAAATTTTAGCTACTAATATAACATTTAGGACTAAAACCTAACTAGAGCTGCCTCTGTGAACAGCCACTGTGGTCAAAGTACTTCTTTTGGTGTAGTTTGTGGGGTTGGGCTTATTTTTGTTTGGACGTTGTTTGGGGTTTTTTAATTGAGAAAAACATCAACTGTGAATTGCTTGGTTGGTTTTCTTAAGGCAGAGAAGGAAGATTTGGGTTATAGTTTTGGACAGAGAAATCACAGGAACAGAATCATAAACCAGTTTGGACTGGAAGGGACCTTAAAAGTCGCCTACTTCCAATGCCCCAAATTTTCCTCCAAGGGAATGGAAAATCTCAGAAACCACAAAGGAAATACAAGGATGCCAAGGCCTATTAAATATAATTAAAATATTTCTCCCTTTATTTTTAGAATTGGCAGATGGGGCATTGACACCTCGGAATGAAGGCAGGGGGAGAAGTTCTGAACAGGTACAGAGAGGCAGAGTTGTGCCTTATCCCAAAAAAGTGGGGAGCAGCTCCTTTAAAAGGAACTTCCCTAATCTTTAGTCTCCAGTTGCTCCAGCTGCCACTCAGGAAAAGGGACAGTGATGCTCAGGGTTCAAAGCTTCTCCCCTCCCTTCAAGCCAAGCAATCAGGAGATGGGATGACACCAACTCCAGCCCCTGGAAAGGCTGGGGCAGAGCGTGAGGCAGATCCCTGCTCCAGGGGCTGGCTGCTGCCCATCCCTCTCCGACAGCAGTCGCTACAATCCCAGGGCTGGAGGGACGGCAGGGAAAAGGGAGCGTCGGGCTGCTCCCCCTCACGCTGGGCGGGTCTAGCAGGAATTTCGCCGGATTTATTCCTGCCCCGGCTTGCTCAGGTTCAGCGAGGCCGGGGCAGAGCTGGGCTGGAGTCGAGCAAACGCCGCAGCCATTCAGAGCTCCTGCTTTTGTTTTGGGATGAGGAAAACTGCTGGTTTTCCACCAGCAGGAACGGCCAAGTGCGGGCTGCTCCGTGCCTGATAACGGGGGATTAGAGGGGAGGGGAACGGAAAGTGGGAGCTCTTTGTTTGGGGGCTAATTAAATCAATTACGTGCGTTAAGGAGGTGCAAGAACCTCTGGGTGCTACAAATGCTCAGTGGATTTTGCCCCTTTGTTGCCCCACTGGCCCACTCTGACAAATATTCCCATTATTCCATTGGTGGCACCGCTGCAGGAAGTTACCTGGTGCTGGTGTGTGCCAAGGGCTGGGCAGTGCCACCCTGGAGAGACTGTCACCAGGGACTGAGCCAGCTGACAGAGCAGTGCCATTCCTACGGGTGCTTCCCGCTGGATTCACATGGAAAAGAAGGAAAGAAAACCCACACAGAACGAACCAAAAGCAAACCACAAAACAAACAACGCAAAACGAAGCCAAAAAAAAAAAATCAATCCAGGAGATCAAACAGGTATTTCTCCCCACAGTAAAATTCTCTGCTAAGTTGTATAAGAAAAAATATTTAAGCCTTTATGACAGGATTGGAACGACAAACGGACTGAAACAACAATCACTGGTGCGTGGGGATGTTTTTGGCCGAGTGCAGTGGAGTTTTGCTTTCTCCCCAAGTTCTAAACCTCTGGCACTGCGGGGATTAGGAGCAGAAAGGCTGACAGATTTAACTCTTGCAGCACGAGTGGCTTCACTATAAGGTGACACCGATAAGGCTGAAAACTGATCCCAGAGTGACTCTCACCCCTCAGAATGTGAGTCCTGCTACTACCACATACTTTGACTTCGGGCACCGGCAGTTAAAGTGACAGTTCATTTCTACAGCCTATCTGTGAAAAAAGCCTCGCAGGAGAAGAGGCTCCTGCTTTATTTATAGGCAAAACAGCTGCTTTCTGCATTCCATGATCTGGGCTGAGGTCTGCTCCAAGTCCTGAGACAGCCCGAGTGTGGAGTTACCTTGTGGGGAAGTAAAACGTGGAGCTGCTTCCCAAAGCAGTGAATGGTGCCTTTTCCACTGGATGAGACACCTCCTCTGGAGCAGCTCTGCTGGCGATTGAAGGAAACCACCGGTGAGGTGAGCATTTCTGACGGGGCTGGCAGACCGGCCTGGAACAGTTTTAGAAAACAAAATCAAGTTCTCACAGCTGCTTTCCTCTCAATTTCCCTCCCGAAACGCTCGTTAAATAAATATACAACAAGCAAAAGCAAATAATGGCCTCGGGTCAAATCAGCCCGTTCATGTGGAGGAGATGAAGATCTGCTCCTCACCTGCACACTGAAGTAACTCTGCTCATACCACACAGATGAAGGAATTTGCTGCTGCTGCTTTCACCTACTCTATTTTTGGATGCACATCCTGCTGTGCATCTGCAGTAAAAAGCATTATGTCCTTTTATTAGTTAACACTGGGTGCGTTACTGTGTATTACTACAAACAGGCATAAAATCAGCCCATATTGTTATAAATAAAACTCTCTTCGTGTGTAAATACAAGATCCACAAGTGCTGAGCACTTTTTCATGTTCTCCACATTTGCTCTCAAGCAATAACATTCACTGCAACTACAGCTTTCCAGCCCTAAATATTTATTCTTATATGGATTCACGCTCTTAAATCACAGCATTGAAATACCCTGCGCTGCAACCCTCTTATATTTTTATTATCCTTTTAGAGGAGTTCTGTATCATTTATTTAGATTCATTATTGCTTTTCTCTCCAAAAAGCCACTTCACTTAATGTAGCCACCACTTCCTTCATTTTGTAATATCTGTATAAATGGGGTGGGTGCCTGTGTGTTCTGACATCATTATGAGCATTTTGCCAAGCAGGAATCTGCAATTTTGCCAGTCTCATGCTGAGGGGGGGAGAAATCAATGACAGATTCCAGATTGGTTTGCTCTATATGCACACAGATAAAGTCAAACATAAGCAGTTCCTTTGCCCAGGAATTCCAGCCTGGTTCCCCAGAAGTCAACATAAATCAAGAAAAGGCTCAAAGATCAAGACAGAACAAGACTTCCTGCTGCTTACACAGTTTCAGAATGAATCTCCACAGCCATGAATAATCCCAAATGAACTGTCAGCACGACACACTTCCCAAAACAGAACATTTACACACACTGGGTGAGAGAATGTGAAAGGCTGGTAATTTAGACTCTTCAAATACATTTGGGAATATTCATCAATTCGGTTAAATCTGCTCTGTAGTTCACAGGGGTGCAAAAACTCACACAAAGCACTAAATCCTTGCACACACTCAGGTATTCTAACATCAATTTAAATGCCCAGCTTAATTAAACCAGGCAGGTTTAAGCACAGACAAGCCCTGCAGTGCGTTGCTGCTGAATTATTAAAGAAAGATTGAGGGGAGAAGGAACCACTAAGTTGTAACTCTTTTTTTTTCTTCCCTTTCTTTGCCCAAACATCCTCAGTGTAACCATACACAGAGTGTCCAAACAGGAGCTTTGCAGGGCTTTTCCTCCTCTTTGTTTTCCCTGCTTTCTCGAAAGCTGTAACAACTCCTTGGCTCTTTTTTCCTGCAGGGCTGCCAAGCTTCTATAAACGGCCTCCAAAGCTGGCAGCAGACCCACAAGTCTGGTTGCAATTCCCTGCAATATCCCTGCTTTGCCATCTATTTTTGCAGGCATTTATTTCAGAGCCTGCAAGCCAAGGGTGTTTTCCCTCTGCTTTAACTATTCCATCTTAAGGATAAATTCTTTCTGAAATGCTTCCAGCTGCCCCTCAGGTGATTCATACATGAAAGAGACTTTAGGAGAGTTTAAAAAGTCAGTGTCCTGCACCCAAAATGCTGATTTATTCACTCCTCTTATTTCCCTCCTCTCACTCTCTCTCAGCTGATGTAAGGAGCCACATTCACGGTGCTTCCCTAATGCTGCACTGCTGCTCACTTCCCCTTCCAAAGGCAACATTCCCTATGTCGATTTAGCAAGATGGCTTTTAAAAATAGGAACACAAAATCCAGTGCTGAGTTTGGGATAGTTATGGGAGACACAGCAGGTGCAAATATTCCCTTACACAGCGTTTTCTGGGGATACAACAAAGAAAAAGTTCACTTGCAAAGGACTTAAAAGGGCTTTTCAGAGTAATTTTCATCCCAGTGTTTTCCAGATATGGTAACCAAAATATCTTTCACCCTGTAAGTACTGGAAAATCTTTCAAAAAGCCAAATTACACCAGATGAGACTGAGCTTCCTGAAGAGGGGCAGGAAGGTGTCTGTGCCTCCTTAATTACCTGTTGTCCCCAAACTTCTTCCTTTCATCTATTTCTTGCTGTCACAGAATTCCCAGTTGAAGATACAGAATTTAAAGACAGCAGAAATTCAATATGTGGCAATAAATTCAGAAAAAAAACCCACACACCTCAATTTAATATGTAATTTACTGAAATTTGGAGCTGGGACCAAACCCAGTCTCACATGCAGACACAGGCTTGTACTTTGGTGATGATTCAAAAAATCAACTCATGTTGTTTGTAGTAAAAAATGCCATGGAATAACTTTTCTGGGTGAGAAACACTTCATTGTTTAATTTGGATTTTTTCCCCTTCTTGCCTGATGCTGAATACATAAGAGCTATTTGGAGACCAGCTTTTAATTTTCTAGCACAGTAATTTTTGTGTGTTGTTGAACTCAACACATTAACATGGTAGTTGGCTGATCCTGCTGACCCCATTTCAAACCCAGCCAGAGTCAGTCTAAATATTTATCTGCTTTTTGCAGTTCCTTTTACACATCCTCTGGATTTTTCTGTTCAGTGGCAGAACACGGGGAAAATGTTTCTTCCACCCAGAAGCAGACACAAGCTTCTGACATAAGATGGGGCTGCAGCCTCCTCTTTTAATGAAAAGACAGGATCCAATTTTATATTTAATTGCAGGTGCACAAGCTGGGAACCCTCTGTGCTTCAGTCCTGACAGGATTTCTGGCACATCCATTATCTTGGATCAGATACCCTGCCACTTGTTATTCCCAGGGCTGCAAAGCTGCAGCTCCAGGAGCCATCCCTAAACATCTCCACTTCCCACTGATGCTCTCCTGACTGACAACTCTCCACACCATTCCTCTCCCTCAGACAGAAAACACTCCAAGTTTGCTGCAAGCAAGAGGGAGTTGTTGAAAAAAAGCAAGCTGGGAAAGAGGAAATGATTGGCTGCTGAAGTGTGAAAGATTTTTACCATAAAACAATAAAGGTGTCATTTTCAAATAACTAGTATCTCAGAATATATTATAAATGCTATCAAAGACTACTAGAAATAAAAAAAACCAGTTTTTCAAGTGTCAGCAATGAATGAAAGTCATTCACACAGCTTTTCCTCCTAACTTCTCCCTACAGTTTTATTTTAAAAACCTCAGGAAACCTTCTTGTTTCAACATTTTAGGAGTGGGAATCAATTAGAGCACAATAAAGCACCAAACCTAAGTCGAGCTCAGCTCCATTTATTTCATACCAGATACAACAACCCTGCAAGCCAACAATTCAGAAGCAAGTTTTGGAAAATAAGACAAGGCCTGTTTGTAAACAATTATTAAACACAGTCTAATTATGTAATTGTTTCCACAGTTCTCAGGAATGCAATCTGTCTTCCCAGACCTTTTTCCTCAAACTGTATCAAGCACTAAGAAGTTCTCAGTGTCCTCTTTCAAGCTAAACAAACCACACCAAAATGCTCTCAGAGCCCATTTTTTAATGACAGAACGATTCAGGCTCAGTGATTTTTCTGTTTCCTCGTGATTAAAATATTCTGTTGCACCACCCAGAACTCGAGGAGTTTGGGAGATGCTGTTTTTCCTAATCCTGACACACAAGGCAAAGAGCCAAAAAGCTGCCTCCTCCAGGCTCCAGAAGGTCAAACAAGAATAACTGGGATAAATGCAGCCAAGGATCAGCCCTGAAATTTGGAAGTAGATGTCAATCCTACTATAGTACCCACGAAAAAGCTCCCATTGCATGTCTTCAGCAGGTACAGGGGGCTCCCCTTTCCTCCCCAAACATCCTGATTAAGGCCCTGGACACTCCAGTTCCCAGTGCTGCAGAATCCTGGATCTGAAATCCAGCAAAGCAAATTCCTGGATACTTTAGCAGGGCTGCTCTGCTTCATGTTGGCAGCAGTGCCTGCAGTATCAGCCACTTCTCACTCTCCCTCATTCCCTTATTTGACTTTGCTGGCCCCAGCTGAGATATGGGGAATCACAGCTTGTCTACCCAGTCCTTCCTCTCACACATATCCCCAGATTCAAGAAAACTCACAATTATTTCTGCTATTCCTCTACAGAATAAGAATAAAACATGCCTGTTATGGAAATAACCTGTTCAGCATTAATTAATACACAGGCAGTAACTGGTAGATTGATGTTTTCTCCTTCTAACACATCTAGGAGCTTGAAAATATTTTTTTTTTTTTGCTAGACAGAGAGGAATCTTTTGTGTTTAAAAATAGCCCAAAAAAAGAAAAATACTCTGATTCCTCAGCACCAAGTGCTTAAGGCTGTTTACAAGTGATTGATAAAGCCCAGCAACCCAGCAGGACACCTTTCTGTTATTTCCAGGCACTTAAAAACCAAAACTCTTTCAGAAGCAGCTTTTTTTTTTGGTACATTCTCTTCATCCAGCTTTTACAATCCCTTGTCATCACTTGTCCCAGACACTTGGAGAGCAGTGACACGGACTCAAAAAAGAGCAGCCACGTAAATTTAGGTGCTCAAAGTGAAATTTTGGCTGTGAAGGACCAGCACATGCTCACAGGGCTGTTTAGTATCTTTAGTGTGGGATTTTCAAGACTTACTCTGTGCCTCTATTCCATAGTCCTTTCTACACCATATAACAACTGACAGTATAAAATATTGCCCAAAACAGGTGTTATTTCAACTATTCAAAATTCCTTCAAACACTATCCAAGTGCAACTCTCCACTTTAAACTTTACACTCCACTAATTAGTGTAAATCTCCAAATTCGGATCTTTTAATAGTTACATTTCAAGGTTTCCTCCTCCCAAGTGTTAGTTTAACACTGGTAGACAAATATTCATATTTAAACTATATTGTAACAAATACATTTTTTTCTCTGCTTATTTTCTCAATAACTTCTTAAAAAACAAACAGAAAGAACTATATTTTAAGGACGAATAAATAAGTCATCATTATTATTACCATAGAGTGTTCTTATACCCCACAGATGAGGGTAAAAAGCCAAATAATTTCCATGGAGAAGGAAAAGAGCTAATAACACACTTTTCAGCACTTACCATAAACATAATTTTCCTTCTAGTAATGGAGAAAAGCAGCAGATTTCAGAGAACATAATGGAAAGCAATTTTCAAATCTGTTTTTAAATAGGAGTGATGTACACACATACTTTCATTTGCAATCACTCCGTGCAAAAAAGCAGATCCCACTCCCCTAAAGGATCCACTTCCCCAGCTCATCTCAGTTGTACTTTGCCATACAAAGGCCAGCAACGTTCCCAGTGGGTGCAGTGGAAGTGCAAAACATTTGTCTCCTCTGTCCCAGGTTCACAATTAAAGCAAATGTTGGATTTTTGGAATCATGTCTTTGTGAAACCACCTGAAAGGGATATTCCCTCCCCTCTGCTTTCAGATTTAACCAGGGATCTCACTGAATAAAAAGGGAATTCCCAAAGACCATCCCTGTTGCCAGTGAAGAAAAAAGTGGAACAGGAGTTCATGTAGCTGCAGGAAGAGCTGGAGGCCAGGTGCAACTAAAACTAGTTCTAACCCACCCAAAACAGTCACTTATAGATGGGTGAAGTGGTAGAGAAGGGCAACAAAAGTAAAAGTGGCAGGAAAAATACATCTCAATGGCTACAGAAAAAGTTTTTTAAATCTAGAATTGATCTGTGAACATGCACAGTTCAAAAATTAAAGCAGCTCTGGACCAGTTTGAAGTTTTCTCACCCAATTTCTGTTTCAGTTGTACCAGTGATTGCTGCAAGTGTTTGGAGAAAGAAAAAAAAAAATCACACAACCTGAATAAAATGGCTCTGCATGGGTACTCACCAAGGAGCAATCAGAGTACAGGGGCAGATCTCTTCAAATCAGGAGAGCAGATAATTCAAAATACACGCTCCTGGCTGGAACAGAAACAGGACAAGAAACACGAGGATGAGCGAACACAGGAGGGAACGGTTTTTGTTCAAAGTTTGGGTTTCTACAACGACCTTGGCTGCTGGGCGGTTTAGTTGCAGTGGCAAAATAAAAACAAAGCAGGAAATTCCACAGTTGTCGGAATCAGAAATGGGACAGGAAGGGAAATGACAGAAAATCGAATGATTTTGGCAGAAATTCAAGGAGAAAAATCGAGTCCAGTTGATGTTTTCGTGATTTCCTTTTAAAATTCTCTTTGAGAGATTTTTCTTATTGCCATTTTATTTCAACAGTTTGTTGGGGGAACATCTTGCATTTACATATTTTGGCATAACACTCAGGCTTTTTATCACTTAAGAGCAGTTGCTGATACTGTGTTAGTAGTTGTGTTTCAGCATTTGGTAAGTTAAAAACTTCCAAATCCCAGTGAATTCCATCCACACAGAATCAGTGGCAGCATCCACCAACCTGAATTATTAACCTGAATGAATTTTATTTTGTGATCATGCTGATGATAATAAGCCAGCAAAGGCACTGAAAAACATCAAAGTAAAAGTAATCATCTCTGAATAATGAGGCCTCTTCCCATCACCAACTGTTGATGTTTCCTTGGGGACTGGGCAGGTGGAAGCTTAATTTGGTTGCATTTTTTGTGTGCACTGAGAGCACTCAGTGACTTCAAAGAGGAACAGCAGGACCTAAAACAGGGAGCACAGGAAGATCAATACCTGTGGAAAGCAGTGTTAGTGGATTTAAATGTAACAGGCAATAATGCAGCAGAATATTTGATGGTTGGCAAGGGAAAAATATGACTAAGAAAATGTCCTGTAAGCACAAGCCTGAAGAACATGATGAACATCTGCCTTGTTTTCCAGGTCTTAACACTTACCACAGGGTTGGCTTCACATGCAATACATCCAAAAATGCTGTTCAGTGTGAGTTTTACAAGAAATAAATTCCATGATTGTTCCTTTTTGAGCAGAGTGACCCCAGCACCAGGGGAATTGTGTTGGTTTTTTTTTTTTTATCCCTGCCAATGAGACAGACGAGAGAAAACAAAAAAAACCTGTTTCTCTGTATGCAAAAGAGGAGCAGGTAGATCTAAAACGTGGCAAACCCACAAAGGTTTATCTGCAGCTAAAACATGAGATGAAGTTAAAGAGGAAAAAAATAAGTAGAAATGGGAATGTTCCTGTTTGAGGGAGCCCTGGTGCCTCTGGTTTTCACCTGGCAGCTCCAGCTGTGCACAGCAATCACACACTCTCTGCTCACAGCCCGGCCCCATTGTCTCGGGAGGCTTTTGTTTAGTCTGTGGTACGTGGCTGTGTTTTAAAATAATAATAAAAGAGACCTCTGCGTTATCAGAACTCGCGCCAAGCAACTACAAAGAATTTTGATGGCTCTTTTATTCACACGGGGCTTTAATCTGCAACAATTACCTTCCTCCAGCCTGTGTGTGTTCCCTCTTTGTCACTGACAGGGAATATAAAAGCCAGGATAACTGAGATTTTGGCTACAAGCCGCTTGGATACAACCTTTTCACTGCAATGTTTAAAGCACTGGCTGCCCCTGAGGTTCAATCCTCAGTCCCTCACTTGGGCAAAATGCTCATGGATCTGGAATTTTTTTTTTCACAATGGATTGATTGGCCTAGGAAAGCAAGGCTGCTCCCTTGATTTCCTGGGCAACGTGATCATATGGAGCTGACTCCACACACACCTTCAGGAGATCAACCAAAAATAGGGAGAATTAGTTTTTATTTCTGTATTTCTTTCACTTCAAGATCCAGGAATATCAGGGACAATGTAAAGCATCTGGAACAGACCTACCACGCTTCAAATAACGCAGGATTCTTTGCAAAAATATTTTTCCTATAAAATAAGTCCCTGTGTTTGTGCCCACCACTGGACTCACTGCTAGAATTATTCTTTAAACAAGTTGTCACTGTATTTACTGTGTTGGTGGTAACTTCTCAGGGTTTTAAGTTCTTACTAGTTTCCAATTGCATAAATAAATTAACATGAAAGGAACTGCAGCTTTAATGTGAACTCTTAATACTTTTAGGCTAATAACAATGAAACCCCTCACAAATTTGGTAATATTTACCAAGACTTACCATCTCTGGCCACACTACAATTCATCAAAACTCTGTAAGTAATCATCTTGATGGAGATGAATCTGGCAAATGTGTGAACTGTCAGACACACCCACAGACACCTGAAAGGGAAGTTCTGCAGGTATTTTCTTTACTCCTATAAACAATCTTTCATTTCAAGTGTTTAACTTCTTGCTAGACACCTGTAAATGTAAGATAGTGCAATAATGGAGCAGTGAGCAAATTGTAAATCAGAGCCTTCAGTTTTCCTCATCAGCAGTGAGCTGTCTTGTTTAAGTAATGGCAAACATAAAAGGTCACATCCTAAAAAAAATCTGTCAAAAATTTAAATTAAAGAAACATGATATCTACAGTGAATAAAATGAGCTGTCATCATTCTAAACATAACTCAGGTTCACATTTATCACAGCCAGATTTCATTTTTTTTCCCTGCAAATAATTTATTTTGGTGCTTAGAAACTTCAAATGCTGTTAAATAAAGGCAGGGAGTCTCCCTACACGGCATCCTAAACAAATTTGAGAGCTCCTCCACGATCTAAAGCAGTTTTCTTGTCAGTCTTGATAAAAAGAGCAGGGCTAGAGAGTGGTACTCAAATTACAAACATAGTATGTGCTTCCTCTCCAGGATCCTGGAGACCAGGGGAAGTAAACACTGAATTACTGAGCTGAAAGTGAGACAAGTTCTAACAGCCTCCAGCTCTTCAGTTAAAGAGGGAGAGTCAATGGTATAAAGCACTTGAATCCACCACTTTCAGCAGGGCTTGTTTTATGTGGCACAAAGAGACTTGGATGTGGGAAAACATCCTAAATATGAAGTGGTTCTGAAAACTCTGAGGTGCCTCTCTGTGCTTAAACACATCTCAAAGTGTGACCACTGAATGCCACTTTTACTTGGGCCTGGGACAAAAATCAAAGAGGAGAAAAAAAAGGTTCTTTTTAAAGAAGGGATGTCAAGGTTTGAACTCTGAAATAGGGTCCCACTATGGCCAGTGTGAGATCCCACACTCACCAGACTTTAAAACAGTCCCCCAATTCTAAATTGCAGCATTAAAGTTTAGTACACTCCACTATGTATTAATATACTTTTTTTTTTTTCAAACATAAATTAAATCTCTGGTTAGTATTTTTTTCATGGAGAAGCAAGGATGCTCAGCACCTGAGTGAGGAATTCTTGTACCTCATAACCTTATATCATATAACAGAAGGACCCAACCTCCAAGTGACCATTTAAACAAATATCCTTGCTTAGGGGTGCAGTCTCTGGAACTCCAGTGGAATTTCCTGTGTGAATATGTCCCTTTAACTGGTGTTTAACTAAGAGATATTAGAAATGGGAAATATTAAAACATTCAAATGCAGTTCTGGTCACAGCAAGAAGTGCTGAAGTTGTAAAAAACACACTGACTCCAAGTGTATTCTTCAGAGCGGTGCCCTGCATGTAATGATCACAAATATGCACCACTGGGTGTGACTGCTCATAATTCTTTTGTTTTGGTTTGTCCTTGGCTGTTCAGGGCAAAAAACACTCTAATATTCTGTGCCATTAGTCATCTCAGAGGTGACCTATCTGTTACAACAAGAGAACTCCAGCCATGCAAAAACCAGGACTGGTAAAACAACCTGGAGTGGGCCGACAGCTCGTGTTATAAAATATGTTTATAAACAACATGTGCTCCAGTTCTCAACGTGAAAAGGGAATTTCTCATTAGGTTTGCTGGCCAACTTTCAGAATCTCAGAGAAAGTAAACCATTAAGCAGTTAATACAGTCATATCTATGTATAATGGACACCTCATGCCATCAGTGTTTTTTCCCCTCCACTGAACTTTATTCCCTTGTATCTTTTTCCCTGTTTTTTGAAAAGAACTAAACCAGAAGGATTTAGAGGTGATGTGCACATAAATTCACTTTCTCTCACCATAGACTTGTGTATAAATGAAGAGCTAACAACAAACCTCATCTATTTTGTCAAAAATAACAGCACTTGAGGACTGTGAGTTAAGGTTTGTTTGAACTAAGGTGATGACATCTGAAAACACTTTTTTTTCTTCTCCTGGCTCAGATGCAACCAGTTGTGTCAGAACTGTGCTGCAGTCCCAGTCAAGCAAGACACCAAAATAAATGAACTGCAGCATAACATGAACAAGCAGCAACATTTAAAACTGGGTGGCAAAACCTTAGAACAGATCATTTACTGGAGCAGGAGGATCCAAGAGGCTGATCAGACCGAGCACGTCCATCCCACGAGAAATACATGGAATCACACAATTGTCTCAAAACTCACTTTATGTCCTGGGTCACAACAGTACTTTGATGTTTAAGCAGCAGACAACCCCTTAACCTACTTTAAAAATGCCCAGTGAATCATGTGTTCTAGAGAGGAGAGGATAGAGAAAATCCCAAGGCTGCTTTACCTGAAAAAATGGATGTGGTCAAAGGCAGCACAAGCAAAAATAAGGCCCCACATCCCACGTGCTCCAAGAGCATTCCCAGAACCACAGCTCCAGCCTTGCCTGCTGTTACAGCAGGATGCTACTTGCCTTCCTCACTGCTGCAGGAAAGGTGCTTCTCTAAAGACTTTTTAAAGCCTGAAAGGAGCCAGAAGTTCCTCAGGATTCTGGATTCCCCTCCACTTCCCAGCCCCATCCCAGGGTTAGCACTAACAGCTGGTCCCTGAGCACTGAATGCAACATCATCACACCCATCACTCAGCAAAAAACAAACCTTCCCCCAGGATTTGGAGCCCGAGGCCCAAGGGGAAGATGTTCAGGATTTTATTGTGCTCTAATTCTTTCCTTGTTAAGCAACAGGCCCCAACCTCCCAGTCATTTCCCCTGAAGGGTGAATTCAGCAGCATGTCAACCTTTTTTTTAAGGTTTAACACACTCAAATCCCAGGTCAAACACAAGCAGGTTTCAAATCAGTCAGCACTTCCCACAGCAAATTTGGTAAGAAGTTTCCCTCATGCTAAAAACCATGAAATCCTTTCCCTCCTCCCATTTTTTCCAGTAATATCCACAACATTCCAGGCAGTTTCCAAACCCCCTGTTCTTGCCTTGAGAAGTTCACAGTGGAGGCAATAAAAGGCCATGGGAGAGGCACACCCACACCAGTGGCCTGGACAAGAAACACCCCCCAAAAAAGTCTGTCTGGATCTGGTGGAATTCTTTTCCACTGCATGGAGTGTTATCACTGCTGGATCCCACTTTCCTGCACAGATTCTCACCTCTCCTAGATGCTGAAATAAGGTGGGACAATTCTGTTGGGCCTCACTTTTACAAAGATGATGATTACTCACAAGTTTCAGCCCTTATGAGTCAGGTCCATCACCTTCAATAACTCCACTAAAACGTTCTTCACTGTGTCCTGCTGTCCAGACAAAGAAATTAAAGGAGACAAAACAGGTTAATCAAACAATGCAATATTAATGTGAAGAAGTGAGTACTCACACAAGTCATTTCAGGATGGAGTTAATGTAGTTTTGATCTCTAAAGATTATTTATGCTTGGGCTGCAGTGGGACCAAGTTAAAATGTCACTTGTCTAAGGTACAAACCTCAATGCTTTCCTTAAACCAGTTAAAAAAATATTATTGAAATTTGTAAAGTCAACCAATCTTTCACAGAGGAAAAAAAAAACCTGTAATTCAGGTACCAACCCTCCCTCTCCAATAGCACAGGGGAGTTTATGCAGTGGACTGAGGCTGAGCTGCAGAGACTTGACATAATTCCTTCATCATGACAGTTCCTAAAGAAAGAAGGGGGAAAATTACCCCAGAAAAACATTCTTGCTGCACTTCAGAGATGATGTGAAATGTTATATGTTAAATGTTATATATATTTCATTTATCCAAATGAAATAGAACCTCTGAGCCTTTAGAAAGAGGTTTTCTTGCTAGAGGAGTATTAATAATGCTGAAACAGAAGCTCAAAAAGCTGTGCAAATAAACATATTGAGAGGCTTTCACATCTTCCAGCACCACACAAACACCTGAATCAAACATGAGGCAAGAACCTGCATAAATCAGGCAATAAAAATACAAAACATTGCCTCAGTTCCAACCAGATTATCACATGAAAAGTTTAAAAGGCAAATTACATTAATTTAATCTGTATCCCTCTTTCAGAATTATGTCAGGATTTCATCCCAGGATGAAAGTGCTGGACCCCAAAGTGACATCATCAGGAACTGTCAGGCATTTGAGCCCAATAATAACAATTTGTTTCAAGGCAATTCCTTGTTTAAGAAGAAAAATGCATCATATGACACCACCAGGGCAGAGCCAAGACTTTGGTGGCTGAGAGCAGAGAGAGCACAGCTGTAATGAGAGGGAAAAGTCACCTTGGAGTGTAACACAATTCCCAGAAGAAATTCCAGAAGAAATCCATTTCCAGCGAAGAACTATATAAATATCAAAGGCAAGAGAATGCCAGGACAGCAGTGGGAGAAGGTGGGAAAAGAAAATGGACTGGGAAGAGAAGGGAAATAAGGAAATAGGGCTCAGGGATCCTTTGGTTAGATGAGGAAGAAGTTGGGAACGGTGCCTGATGGGAGGCACTGTGCCCTGAGATGCTCCTCACAGGGCCAGGGCAGACACTGCAGCAGTGCCTGAAATAAAAGAAAGAAAGAAAGAAAAAGATTTTCTTGCTTTTGCTACTTCAGGATTCCAAATGGAAACTGGCTCTAAGAAAAGGTAGAGTAAATTTAGTCTTAAAGAAGGGACTTCGCAGTGAAAATTACAGAGGGTGGTATAAACAAGAAAAGAAGATTTTCTTCAGTAATTAGATATTTACCTGGATAATTCCATGAGGATTCCTCCAATCCCAGATAAATTCTTGCCTGGCCCAAATCAGAGTTCCCTTCAAGCCTTATTTGTGCCCTTCTGCAAGTGCTAAAGGGCCACTGAAGCTGCTCCAGGTTTTATCAAGTTGGAGGATAATTCCTGCAGCCTCCTTCCATAATGTCCCAGTTTTCAGTCAATTCTGTGGCCCTCCAAGCACTTGGAAATTAAGATTTTAACTTGGTTGTTGGAAAATCATGGAAAAAAAATCCAGTATTTATTTAAAAATAAATCTGACTGGACTGACTTTACTCACTGATAGTCTCACACTTAAATACTCACAAGCACCAAGTTTTCTTTATCAGAATATTTTATGGCTCCAGTTCAGTTCCCCATTTTCCTGGTACCTTATATTTAGGTTAGTTCCTCCTCTTCATCTGAATGAAATCACACATCTGGCACTCTCTAGGCATTAACATATCTTTTCTCTTCACCCTTGTACTACTGTTTCCTCTGGAGCCACCACAGACACTTCTTTTTTAATATAACTCTACATAATTTTAATAATTAAAAAAAACCCCTCCATGTCAAATTTCAGAAATAATTGTAGCTGCAAGCAATTAGAAATCGGGCTATTAAAAAAAAATCAGCAAATAAAGTCTTAATGTGTTTGTGATACGATCACAAAAAGCACCAAATTGTTCCATGTTGAAAAAAAAAATCTTATCTACGAAACATTTGTATCTTAAAACAATTCCAGACATGTGACACTGTGCAAAGAAAAAAAAGCATTAATAGTATCTACCAAGGCTGAGCTCTGTTTTTCCAAGTGTTCCAGTAACCACCAAGAGATCTTAAATTTCTTATTGGGAGAAAAAAGTCAATTTTCCTCAAAAAATTGGACTCCTGCACAGAAATCACTTGAGCAAAACTAGAGATGCAGCGTCTAGAATCTGCATAAAAATGTTCAATTCATTTGCTCGGTCCAGATCTTTGTTTTGGCGAAAAGAAATTAATTTTATGTGAGGAATAAATCCCTAACAACTCTTGAATCAACAGCAGAGCCAGGAGACAGCGAGGTACAACAGCAGTGCCAACACTCCTTCCCAGTAAGGACACCTGACATGCAGATTAGTCCCACCAGGAATGTTTTATTGATCACAGCCTGTCATATGACAGTCCCTCTGCTATTTATGTACAATTAGCATCAAGTTTCATCCCGGGCTATTGCCACTTTGGATTTAATTTTACTTGGATCTGACTGCTGGTGAATGCTTCTTCTGCACTTGCATCCCTTGGTGTGAGAGCTGTTTTCTCCTGGAATTGCTGGGATATATTTTCAGTGCTGCAGTTCCTCATTTGTGCCTTAAATCCAGTGTTTTCAAAACGCACACATCACCAGTCCCAGGTTTAACCACACGTCAGGCAAGAGCACAGACGTGGACCGGGATGAAGGGGTTTTTTTAGCTTTTCACCCCAAAACGAAGGGAATGCTTTGCAGTGATAATCCCACCTGTGTTCCAGCAGCTCAGGAGGAAGGAAAGAGGATCACCCCGGCAGAACCAGGAGTGATCTCAGCACAAAATGACGTGGGTGGGTCGGGCGGCTCTCGCTTGAAATGCAGGGACCGAAAGCACTTTCTCCGGGGATGTGTCACTCAGTGCCCGGGAGCTGCACAACTCCAGCCCTGTGTTGGAAAGAGAGGGGGCAGTGAAGCCCCAGAGGGAGCAGTTTAGATTTGAAGAACAACATTTTATGGTGTATTTTAACAGCAACCCCCCCCCCCAACCCCACACCAAAATTCACATTAGTCCTGCGTGATCGTATTTTGGTTCGGCCATTTTAGAGTTTGTTAAACACCAAACTCCCCGGGTGGGGATCAAACATTACAATTAACAGCAAAGTTCCAACGGGCACCAGTTAAAGAGGAGACAGAGCCCAGGCTTTGCTCCCTGCCAGTGCCACGGGGAGTTAACCAGGATGCTTTGAATCACTGTCTCCTCCCACAGGGCTTTTGGAAATGTTGGGTTTATCGATGCAGGACATGCCCGACCTTCCTCTTTTTCCTCCACTGTCCCACAGCCACCACAGTGCAAAGTTTGGGGGTGTTTAGAACACCCCTGTGACACAGCAGGCCAGGGGACAGGTGTCACATTGCAATCTAACCACACACTGGGGTTGGCAGGATAGGGGACTAATAGTTTGTATTCCTACAGGAAGGTCAAACATCATGAATCCACTTGGAATTTCCTAGAATCATAAAATCATTTAGGCTGGAAAAGGCCTCCAGGATCATTCAGTTCAACCCAGCACTGCCAAGTCCACCATTAAACCATGTCCCTAAGACCATTTCCACATCACTGTGATGAAATTCCTAAAGAACTAAGGAATACATAGGTAGGGAAGAGAAAAAAAACTGAGATGTGAACACACAGGGAAAAAAAATCTGCATTGGTTCTACAACCTTCCTGGCTCCAAGGACACAAAGAACTGTTTGTCTGTTTGTTTGTTTAAAAAGTCAAGATATTAATTTTAGAGTTAAATGGGAAAAAAAAGAAAGCTACGAGCCCCTGATATAGTAAAAAGTAAGAAAATAGAAAACTTGGTGTTTTCTTGGGGTGAGGGTGCAGTTTAATAGACTGAAAGTCTTACACCCAAATGCAGATAGTTTTTTACTTTACTGTAGTTTTTTAATCTGTTACTCTGAGTAAGATATTTTTTTTCCCCCAGACCACTGGCTTACTGCAGAGATAAATTCAGACCAATTTTTACAGTCTCTGATGGCAGATCCCTTCTGCCTCTCCCCAGGGGGTCACAGAGCACTCCTAATCAGCACCAGTGTGCCATCCTTTTAATCTGTGCCCCCTTTACTGGCCAGGAATGGGTTTTAAGGAAAACCCACAGCCAAAACATAAGTGTTGTGAAGTGCAGTGAGTCATGGGAGTGCTGAGCTGACCTTCTGCAGAACCAAGGAATGCTAAACAAACCCCTGCAAGTCACTGCCACCCTGCCAGCCTCACACTGACCAATTCCATGGACACAGATAGTATCCAAGGCACTCTGAGAGCAGCCTGTGCTAATATTGGCTCCTGAAGCCCATTGAAAGGAGTGCCAGAGGTCACAAACCATCTCTGGCAGCATGCAGGGAGTCTGGTTGGAACTGGGAAAGCAACACTCATTTGCCTGTTGCTTATTTTTTGTCTTGAAGGCATCTTGAGCTGTTTGAGCTTTAAGAAAAAGATTTTGCCTTCTCAGAGTTTGCCCAAGGTATTCTGAAGAGCAACAAAAGATCATCCTCCTGCTTACCTTTATTAATGGAGCATTAATTCAGCATCGTGTTCAGCATCAGCTCTAAGTGTTCTATGCTGACTTACCTTTCTAGAGTCAGTTAATGCTGCAGAAAATCAGTGGTGATGCCACTAAATGCAGCCAGAACTGAGAACTAGGTTTTCAAATTGAAGGATAATTTTTCTGTGTGGCCCACAAAAGAGAAAGGAAGAGAGCAAGGAGATCTTCCTCTTTGCATTTTAGCCATCTGGTTGCTGAACAAAAGTTATCTTTCCACATGAGGTAACTGGATGGGCTGTTAGAGAACAGGATTCACACACAGCAAGGAACCTTTTGAGGAGTTAAATGTAGAATTTGTGCCTGAAATTTCATACAGAAGCACTGTATAAAGGCATTGAAACAACATTTGCATTCTTTCCTAGATTCAGAGCTAACTCTCACAAAGCAAGGGTGTGCAAAATAGTAACACAAGCAGCTCTTAAATACCACTTTCCAGTAGTTTGCAAGACATTTGTGAAGCACATTGCTAAATCTTATCTATACAGTTTAATTTTAACACCTGCTATCAGCTTGTTCTGACCAGTGCTGTAAATCACAGTGATAACCTGAACTGCTTGTCTTCTGAATTGTCTCTGCTGCAGTGTCAGAGTTTAGTCACCACTTAGTGATGCATTTCCCATGTACTTAAAACCACACTGGGTGCCCTGTATTTTAAAATCACCCTGAACTGAAAACGTGCCCTGTCTGACTAACTTTGAATTGCTCCAGCTTTTATCTCTCCTGATATGAGTTTCTAGAAAGATGCAGCTATTCCAGCCACCACAAAATATGTGAATATTATTGGTTGTATCTAAGCAGAACAGGCAAACCACTTTCAGCTTCAGGACAGGACAGATTAGTGCTGGTTTAGGTCTCACCAAGTTCCCAAGATCAGCAAATTCCTGACCATTTCCCTGTCTTATCATTGCCTTTGTAAATGGCCAGAGATTCATGGCTGGGAGAAAGGACTGGGAAGGTGGATTGAGTCTGTATACTTGCTAAAGAACTGGATCATTACAAGGTGTGCAAAGAGGAAAAGCCATATTTACCAGGAATTAATTTAACATAATTTGCAGGAAGGTCTTTGGTATCCACTGTGGCAAAGGCTGCATTTCATGAACACTTTGAGAGTGTTTCTGAACAAGCCAAGGACAGAATAAGAAAAAAGAGAAATGAAAAATGGGAATAATGATACTGACATCTTATTATACTAATGATACCTCAGTAATTTAAGCTGCACACTTCTTATGCCAAGAAAAATAATGTCATAGTATTCTTGTCACCTGTTAAAATGAGAGTTCAGAGGCACTATTGAAACATAAGAAAAACAAGTCAGTTTACAGCAAGGGAAACCCCATCCTTTGCAAATAACCAGACCCAAAACATGCTGTGTGACCCTCAGCTCCAGCTCCAATTGTAACATGCATTTCACCAGGTTTTCTTCCTGTACTTCCTTTTCTTTTGGAGGTTCACACTCGTTAATGAAACTCCTTTGTGTCTGTGGCACATTCATTCACAAGGCATTGGGGAATTCTTCACTCTGGTCAAACAATTCACTGATTCCTTTAGAGAAAAACTGTGCTAAATAGCTGGGCTGTTGTCATGACCTTTCACCCAGATTTTTTGATGGGAGTTACTAAAATGTCATGTAAAATTAAATTAAACAGCATTGATTGAGTTCCTACCAAAAGTGAAAGCAGAAAGGTAAATTCCCTATTATGTCTAGCAAATGAAATTCGGGCAAACAGCTCTTTCTTGTGGATGAAAGACAGTTTTACATTAGGACTTACCACTGATTTCCACTCCATGTCCCTGTGAAACATAAATAGCTACAAGCAAATATTATTGCATGGCTGCCTACGTGTGCTCTGACAC